CCTTCAATTCTATTATTTTTATATGGGAATATGAAGAGTTTTTGGGACTGTTTTTGGACAGTTTTTGGGTTATATTCTGGACAGAATTTGAACAGGTTTTGGGACTGTTTGGTAGCTGTTTTGGGAAGAATTCCAAGAGTTTCTACTGCAGTTTTTAGGTGCCTTTTGGCCATCTATTTCCAGCTTTTAATTAATATTTTAATGGCTGTTTAGTTCCCCTCTTATGCCTATATATAGTAGATGTTTTGGGCTTTTTAAAAGAGAGAATGATATGTGATTTTTGGAATCTAACCTGCGGTTGGAAAAGCTTGCGAGCTTTGTCCGTTCTTCTTTCTCATCCCCTCCGGAAATCCTACGGGCTATTTCCACCCTTCTTCTTGGCTTCTAATCTCTTCGTCTCTCCGCAAGTGTCACTCCATCTGTATCTTTCGTCTCTAAGTGAAGCAATTTTAGGGTGTCATCTTGTTTAAGTATTTATTTCTTAAGTTTGTAAGTCCTTTTCTAAGTGTCGTTTGTAAGCGTCTTGTAAGAGTCTTTATGATATAAAAAAGTTTTTTTTTGTCTAATTCGTTTAGTTTTTGTGAGATCTTGTAATCTTCTATTATCTAGGAAGAGTTTCTTTTGTTAGCAAAAAATTGGGGCCCTCTCCCAAATTTTTGCTTGCATCAGGTACTCACCAAGTTTATCTCTCCCGACCTAAGTCATTTAAGGCTTGCTCAATAAGAAGCCTACTCACCAGCTCCTTCATAAATGGCAAGAGCTACAACAGTGATCTTGATCGCTTTAGTTGGTACTGATTCATTACAAATCTCCTTCATTAGTGCATTACCTAGCCTTCGTCCAGCATTAGCGAGAACAAACTCTTTGTCAAATAACTTTGATAAGTTCCTCCACTAGACTCTATGGGTGTAGATAATCCTTAGTGGCATGGTTGTGGTCGTGATGATAGACACAATATTTTGATTAGTCACGTAGGTGCCACGAAGCCCTCATGGGCGTCACCCTTTTAAAGAAGTCCTTATTTTGAATGGCCTCAAATAACATGACCATGGAAATTTGCAATGAAGTCATAGTTGTCGGTGAACAAATAGGAGGTGACAGTGACCTTCTGCATGACCATTATCACATCATTCTTCATTACCAAATGAGATTCTCAGATGCTGAGCCTATCTCCTTGAATCATGATAGTTTCTCCTCTCAACTGCTTAACTTAAAGCAACTTCTCTAGTCCTTGGAAATTACGGAATTTTTTCTCTAATATAATTGCTTTCCTTTCTACTGGCTGCAATAGAGGCTCCAGTCTCCATATTATACTCATCAGCATTTATATGACTGTTGGCAAGTTCAAGCACTTGGGCCAATGAACTCTACCTGCTATAAGCCTAGTGCACACCTAAAAGGTCTCCCTTGTAAATCTTAGGTGAGAGCCACTCTGGTGACAACCGTTTACAAATCCCTCACATCACGTATCTCCCAAAACTGCAATGAAACTCCTTGATGATTCACTCGATTCTTGACTTGCAATAAGGCATGAGAGTTCTTCAGCAGCCCGCACCGGCAAGCTACATCACAAACATTCTCTTGAATTTGATAAAGGAGATGATGACATTGAGTGGCAAATGCGAGAAACACCTCAGAGGTGATTCCTTTAATGTAGTGAAGAATAACCTACACTTCAATGCAATGTAGATATCACAGAGAGAGTGATAACTAACCCAAAGTATGCAACATGGTCGTAGGGATCAATCCTTCCCTTGAAAGATTCCATATGAGAGATTTTGAACTTTGCTAGAAGCTTAACCTCAACAATCTGCCTCGAGAAAGAATTGACATGTGATGACTACTCTTCTCAATTCTCATTTCTTCATGATGAAGGTCGAAGTCAACTCCTCACAGGCAAGGTAATATGTCTCATCAATGATTGGAGTAAAGGTCAATACTCTTCCTCCAGAAAATCTTCTTCACCTCAACACAGATAAAGGATCGTTCAGGTCGTTTCACTATAAGAGTGGTTATTGAGACCCTTTCCAATGCTACTTGAAAAATCCGATTCTTCCTCTCAACAAATTCAACAAGCTAGCCAGTAGTCGCATACACCTGATTTTCACATCAAGAAATGCTTCTCCTCCTTTTTTATGTTATTTTGATTGATGTAGTACTCTTCTAGCTACCGAAAAGCTCCATGCGCAACAAATATTTTAGAATGTAAAATTAAAAAAATGTTCATGAATCACACCCAACTGCACTGACAATATTGAATGAAGAAAAGAATAGGAACGTTGAGAGAAAAAAAAAGTATACTAAAGAAAGAAGCATTGAGATTTCAATAAAATAAGTTTGTATATAAACTTGCTCTTAAGACAAATTATATAAAATTGCACAAATAGAGCTCACCTCTCGACCCCCTATTTATAAATTTAGGTTTGGGCTTTTGTCACCCCATTTGACCCCCTTATAGTCAACAGGGAGTATAACAGAGAACGAAAATCTGAACAAACCTACTTCTTACTAACAACCATTCTGAACTACTATTAGAATCAAGTGAGTAGGAAGTAGCATATTCAGATTATCCAAACATCTCAGGTTTTATACTTAACAACAGAAAACATATGTAAAATACCTCAAATAAATACAAATCTCAAATGAAATACAGAGCTTTACTAAATTTTTTAAAATTTGTTTACATACCCAAAAGTATTTGTACATCTATTCAGATCTCTTTATATACCCAAAAGTGTATGTACACAAAAAGTGCAATCACCCCTTTTTTTGTTTAGTGCCCTACTGGCTCCTTCCCCATTCTTGCAATACAACTACTGTTAATGAGATAGGATTCAATGAAGTACAAAAGCAATGTATAAGAAATAATAATATTCTTGATATCAATTAGGAACAAATGAAAATTCTATAATAAACATAGATTATACAAAAACATCATTTCATGTTCTATTTATTGATCAACACTTTAGGCAAGTCGTGTGATGACTATAAGCTTTTGAACACTCAGATCTCTCTAAATCAAGGTTGAGTCTGTATTAAAAACTTTTAGATTTGAGGCTGCTCTCTCATTCAAGGTTGGGTCCGAATTCTCAACTTTTAGAATTTCAGGAGTGTTGGCTTAAGTCTATCCTTTTAGCAACCTACAAATTTCAGCAATTTATTTATTTACTCAAGGTTTTCCTTACCTAAACCTGCACCAACAGCTCCAGCCAGCCTCACGGATCCTAACTCCTGCTTCGCTTCTAGCTCACGGAACCCTCTATTTGAACTTTAGAGAGCCACGAGAGTGAGTGGTATGAAGAAAAAGGATGGTGCAAAAGCTTTAAGTTAGTATATATTATAATAATAATTAATAAGCACTAACATTATAGATTTTTTTTACACCAACACCTCTCAGCTTTCCCAGCCATTGATTTCCCGCACCCTTTAATCAGCCCTCTGAATGCTTGGCGAAGTGGATTTAGATTAAGAATATAAAAATAAACTTTGTACTTCATTGCTTAGGGGAATATAGAATATAGGTATTATAGCTTCATCATTATAGATTTCACTATGGATATGGCTATACTAAACTAAAAGATAATATAATAATAGTGTAGCCAAGTAAGAAGGTCCAACTTGATATAGTCATCTACCAAGTAGTCGATCAACTTAGTTGTTGATCAATAGTTTTCCTTGAGAAGTCCCCCTTCCTCAAATAGCATATACTGTAGTTGATAGGGCTGATTGATAGGATTTACTCACCGATTGGGACAAGTTCTTTTTCTGGACATTTTTTTAAGGGGGGAAGTTTACTTGGTTTGAACTATCAGTTTGAACTAAGTAGACTTAACCTGAACCAAATTTTCTGAATATTGGAATGTACAAAAGGCATGCCATAATTTATAGGGAAGCAATTAAGCATTGACATAAACTTCATTAGTCTTTATCCCAAACAACATGGAGCTGACTAAAATGTTTAATACTAGAGTAACAAAAAAGGTAATATAAGAGATGAAAGCAAAGATAGCAACAATACATCATATATAGATTCTTAAGTTATAACAAAATGAAATATGAGAAAACAAATTAGGACACTAAACTTACCAGAGTTAGGAGATGGATCTCCCACTCTAGTTGAATGCAATACCACTGTTCCTGAAAGAACAGTGATGAAACCACACATCTCAGATGATATATCACTTGCACTCTGCCCAGACCAGTCCTGAATTAAAAACAATGTGAATGTTGTCATAAAATACAAAGATCTAACAAAGTAAATAAGAATCCTTCATACCTTGAACATAATGGCACTTGCCAAAATTGTGAGGATTGTGAACATTGCATAGTACACAGGAGAAACAACTGCAGTATTGAAGGTATCCAATGCCTGAAAGGGGTAACACGTAATTAAACAAAAAACTATAAAAAAAAAACAGTTAATTTACAGGTCAGTCAATTCGATAATCAATTAACTAGGGCAAGGAATATCATTGTTCACAATAACATCAATCTATTTTCAACAAGCAATTAGAAGAGACAAGAGTAATGGTAACATTTTACTACAGCCTTCACTGTGCAAGAGAAAGCCTTCGATAGCGCTAAACAGGATCTCAACAACAAAAAACAGGCAGTTATTTAACATAAAAGTATATTGTATGCACAGAAACGAAACAAAATTCTGAAGGAAGAGAACCAAGGCTTGATTCATGATAAAAAACAAAATAGATAAGTTAACTAAAAAACTCTTTATTGTGAAAAACTTTTCCAACAAGAGACAAATCAGCGCAAATGTTCAATTTTTTTAAAAAAAAGTGGCTGATTGAACAAGATTTAGCAAATAATCCCTTAACCAGATAAAGTTCTCACGGTCAAGCCAACAACATAACTACAACATTCATGGATGTTCTTTACTGCTTGTTTCTACAGGTACAATCACAACAAAAACAACAAAAAAAGATAGATCATTTGATGCTAGTCACCATGATGAGGACATCCGCTCTACTTTGTTTTATGTTCATTTTATTATTTGATATATTTGTTTTCTTTATGATTGTGTTGTCTTTTCCACTTTTGCCCTTACTTAAGGGTTTAGAGATGTGTAAGCCCTAGGAGCATTTTAGTACTTTTTATTTGTCACAATGTACTAGCTATTTAAAGCCCTCCCCTCCTCCCTTGAGGGTTAATGAAGATTATTATGAAAATTTATGTGTTTTACTCTTGTGAGAGTTTGAGAGTTCTTGAAGAGAGCTTTAAGAAAGTGCCTTGGTGAAGGGCAACGCAATACCCACCAACCTTGGAAGCGTCCGGGTTCGTGATTCTCTTTTCCCTATCTTCTTCTTTCCCCCTTCTCCTTCGCTCCTTGCCGTCGGCCATTAATCCTTTCCCCTCCAAAGCATCAAATTTAACTTACTATGCGGTCATAGTGCATCTAGCTTTACACTATATTCCTTGGACAGTGGTTTGTATTCTCAACACAGACAAAAAAGGACGTATAAACCCCTGCTTCCAAAATGTTATATATATATATATATATATATATATATATATATTGTAAAAACCCGAAAAATGCCGTTTTAGACCTCGCACGCTTTTCAAAGCGCCGCGACAAGTTTTAAGTGAAAAATTCAAGTTTGTCGGGTTTCGACGGGAATAATTTTATAAAATTTTACACAAAATTCTAAGAAATTTGTTATATAAAACTTATATTTAATTTTGCTTAATTTAGGAAATAAAAATTAGAGAAGTCTCTTAATACCCAAAGTACCCCTAATGTTTATTAAGGCTTGGAGAGTTTAAGTGAGGCAAAAGGGTCTTTTGAAATCCCTATTTCCTTAAGTTATGAAAGAACCGAACCCCCCTTTTCATTCCTTCCGCTCATTTGGTCGGACGAACCGAAGGGAGGCGGAACCGAGAGAAGAGGCGTTCGCAAGGGAGGCGACGGGTGGCTCCGGCGGCCGTTCGTGGAGAAACTTGTAGGGAAGATTAAGGGAAAGTTAAGGTGAGTTGTTTTCAATAGATTTCTCATGATTTTATAGAATTTTTCTTTAAGGAAAATTTAGGGTTTGAGGGGAAACTTGGATTTTCTTTAAGAGAAAGATAAGATAGGTTTAAGAGATGTTTTTATGCATGGAAATGAGATTTTATTTTTAAACATTTTGAGATTTGGTAAAATTAGGGTTTTCTCTAAAGTTGGAGTTTTTGGAAGTGCCTTTGCAAATGTTATTCCTAATGGTCCTAAGAGAGTTTTTAAGAGAAGAAATTGAGTTT